AGGGTAAGGCAGGATGCCTACAGGGGTTCAGACTTACTTCCTTGTAGTAGTTTACTGATTCTAAGTGTAAGAGAACTTGTTGGGGCTGGGCTCACTCCTCACAGAGGCCAGGGTAAGGCAGGATGCCTACAGGGGTTCAGACTTACTTCATTGTAGTAGTTTACTGATTCTAGTGTAAGAGAACTTGTGGGGGCTGGCTCACTCCTCACAGAGGCCAGGGTAAGGCAGGATGCCTACAGGGGTTCAGACTTACTTCATTGTAGTAGTTTACTGATTCTCAGTGTAAGAGAACTTGTGGGGGCTGGGCTCACTCCTCACAGAGGCCAGGGTAAGGCAGGATGCCTACAGGGGTACAGACTTACTTCATTGTAGTAGTTTACTGATTCTCGGTGTAAGAGAACTTGTGGGGGCTGGGCTCACTCCTCACAGAGGCCAGGGTAAGGCAGGATGCCTACAGGGGTTCAGACTTACTTCATTGTAGTAGTTTACTGATTCTCAGTGTAAGAGAACTTGTGGGGGCTGGGCTCACTCCTCACAGAGGCCAGGGTAAGGCAGGATGCCTACAGGGGTACAGACTTACTTCATTGTAGTAGTTTACTGATTCTCAGTGTAAGAGAACTTGTGGGGGCTGGGCTCACTCCTCACAGAGGCCAGGGTAAGGCAGGATGCCTACAGGGGTTCAGACTTACTTCCTTGTAGTAGTTTACTGATTCTCAGTGTAAGAGAACTTGTGGGGGCTGGGCTCACTCCTCACAGAGGCCAGGGTAAGGCAGGATGCCTACAGGGGTTCAGACTTACTTCCTTGTAGTAGTTTACTGATTCTCAGTGTAAGAGAACTTGTGGGGCTGGGCTCACTCCTCACAGAGGCCAGGGTAAGGCAGGATGCCTACAGGGGTTCAGACTTACTTCCTTGTAGTAGTTTACTGATTCTCGGTGTAAGAAAACTTGTGGGGGCTGGGCTCACTCCTCACAGAGGCCAGGGTAAGGCAGGATGCCTACAGGGGTTCAGACTTACTTCCTTGTAGTAGTTTACTGATTCTCAGTGTAAGAGAACTTGTGGGGGCTGGGCTCACTCCTCACAGAGGCCAGGGTAAGGCAGGATGCCTACAGGGGTTCAGACTTACTTCCTTGTAGTAGTTTACTGATTCTCGGTGTAAGAGAACTTGTGGGGGCTGGGCTCACTCCTCACAGAGGCCAGGGTAAGGCAGGATGCCTACAGGGGTTCAGACTTACTTCATTGTAGTAGTTTACTGATTCTCAGTGTAAGAGAACTTGTGGGGGCTGGGCTCACTCCTCACAGAGGCCAGGGTAAGGCAGGATGCCTACAGGGGTTCAGACTTACTTCATTGTAGTAGTTTACTGATTCTCAGTGTAAGAGAACTTGTGGGGGCTGGGCTCACTCCTCACAGAGGCCAGGGTAAGGCAGGATGCCTACAGGGGTTCAGACTTACTTCATTGTAGTAGTTTACTGATTCTCAGTGTAAGAGAACTTGTGGGGGCTGGGCTCACTCCTCACAGAGGCCAGGGTAAGGCAGGATGCCTACAGGGGTTCAGACTTACTTCATTGTAGTAGTTTACTGATTCTCGGTGTAAGAGAACTTGTGGGGGCTGGGCTCACTCCTCACAGAGGCCAGGGTAAGGCAGGATGCCTACAGGGGTTCAGACTTACTTCATTGTAGTAGTTTACTGATTCTCAGTGTAAGAGAACTTGTGGGGACTGGGCTCACTCCTCACAGAGGCCAGGGTAAGGCAGGATGCCTACAGGGGTTCAGACTTACTTCATTGTAGTAGTTTACTGATTCTCAGTGTAAGAGAACTTGTGGGGACTGGGCTCACTCCTCACAGAGGCCAGGGTAAGGCAGGATGCCTACAGGGGTTCAGACTTACTTCATTGTAGTAGTTTACTGATTCTCAGTGTAAGAGAACTTGTGGGGACTGGGCTCACTCCTCACAGAGGCCAGGGTAAGGCAGGATGCCTACAGGGGTTCAGACTTACTTCATTGTAGTAGTTTACTGATTCTCAGTGTAAGAGAACTTGTGGGGGCTGGGCTCACTCCTCACAGAGGCCAGGGTAAGGCAGGATGCCTACAGGGGTTCAGACTTACTTCCTTGTAGTAGTTTACTGATTCTCAGTGTAAGAGAACTTGTGGGGGCTGGGCTCACTCCTCACAGAGGCCAGGGTAAGGCAGGATGCCTACAGGGGTTCAGACTTACTTCCTTGTAGTAGTTTACTGATTCTCAGTGTAAGAGAACTTGTTGGGGCTGGGTTCACTCCTCACAGAGGCCAGGGTAAGGCAGGATGCCTACAGGGGTTCAGACTTACTTCATTGTAGTAGTTTTACTGATTCTCAGTGTAAGAGAACTTGTGGGGCTGGGCTCACTCCTCACAGAGGCCAGGGTAAGGCAGGATGCCTACAGGGGTTCAGACTTACTTCATTGTAGTAGTTTACTGATTCTCAGTGTAAGAGAACTTGTGGGGCTGGCTCACTCCTCACAGAGGCCAGGGTAAGGCAGGATGCCTACAGGGGTTCAGACTTACTTCATTGTAGTAGTTTACTGATTCTCAGTGTAAGAGAACTTGTTGGGGCTGGGCTCACTCCTCACAGAGGCCAGGGTAAGGCAGGATGCCTACAGGGGTTCAGACTTACTTCCTTGTAGTAGTTTACTGATTCTCAGTGTAAGAGAACTTGTGGGGGCTGGGCTCACTCCTCACAGAGGCCAGGGTAAGGCAGGATGCCTACAGGGGTTCAGACTTACTTCATTGTAGTAGTTTACTGATTCTCAGTGTAAGAGAACTTGTGGGGGCTGGGCTCACTCCTCACAGAGGCCAGGGTAAGGCAGGATGCCTACAGGGGTTCAGACTTACTTCCTTGTAGTAGTTTACTGATTCTCAGTGTAAGAGAACTTGTGGGGCTGGGCTCACTCCTCACAGAGGCCAGGGTAAGGCAGGATGCCTACAGGGGTTCAGACTTACTTCCTTGTAGTAGTTTACTGATTCTCAGTGTAAGAGAACTTGTGGGGGCTGGGCTCACTCCTCACAGAGGCCAGGGTAAGGCAGGATGCCTACAGGGGTTCAGACTTACTTCATTGTAGTAGTTTACTGATTCTCAGTGTAAGAGAACTTGTGGGGGCTGGGCTCACTCCTCACAGAGGCCAGGGTAAGGCAGGATGCCTACAGGGGTTCAGACTTACTTCATTGTAGTAGTTTACTGATTCTCAGTGTAAGAGAACTTGTGGGGGCTGGGCTCACTCCTCACAGAGGCCAGGGTAAGGCAGGATGCCTACAGGGGTTCAGACTTACTTCCTTGTAGTAGTTTACTGATTCTCAGTGTAAGAGAACTTGTGGGGGCTGGGCTCACTCCTCACAGAGGCCAGGGTAAGGCAGGATGCCTACAGGGGTTCAGACTTACTTCCTTGTAGTAGTTTACTGATTCTCAGTGTAAGAGAACTTGTGGGGGCTGGGCTCACTCCTCACAGAGGCCAGGGTAAGGCAGGATGCCTACAGGGGTTCAGACTTACTTCCTTGTAGTAGTTTACTGATTCTCAGTGTAAGAGAACTTGTTGGGGCTGGGCTCACTCCTCACAGAGGCCAGGGTAAGGCAGGATGCCTACAGGGGTTCAGACTTACTTCCTTGTAGTAGTTTACTGATTCTCAGTGTAAGAGAACTTGTGGGGGCTGGGCTCACTCCTCACAGAGGCCAGGGTAAGGCAGGATGCCTACAGGGGTTCAGACTTACTTCCTTGTAGTAGTTTACTGATTCTCAGTGTAAGAGAACTTGTGGGGGCTGGGCTCACTCCTCACAGAGGCCAGGGTAAGGCAGGATGCCTACAGGGGTTCAGACTTACTTCCTTGTAGTAGTTTACTGATTCTCAGTGTAAGAGAACTTGTGGGGGCTGGGCTCACTCCTCACAGAGGCCAGGGTAAGGCAGGATGCCTACAGGGGTTCAGACTTACTTCATTGTAGTAGTTTACTGATTCTCAGTGTAAGAGAACTTGTGGGGGCTGGGCTCACTCCTCACAGAGGCCAGGGTAAGGCAGGATGCCTACAGGGGTTCAGACTTACTTCCTTGTAGTAGTTTACTGATTCTCAGTGTAAGAGAACTTGTGGGGGCTGGGCTCACTCCTCACAGAGGCCAGGGTAAGGCAGGATGCCTACAGGGTTCAGACTTACTTCATTGTAGTAGTTTACTGATTCTCAGTGTAAGAGAACTTGTGGGGGCTGGGCTCACTCCTCACAGAGGCCAGGGTAAGGCAGGATGCCTACAGGGGTTCAGACTTACTTCATTGTAGTAGTTTACTGATTCTCGGTGTAAGAGAACTTGTGGGGCTGGGCTCACTCCTCACAGAGGCCAGGGTAAGGCAGGATGCCTACAGGGGTTCAGACTTACTTCCTTGTAGTAGTTTACTGATTCTCAGTGTAAGAGAACTTGTGGGGACTGGGCTCACTCCTCACAGAGGCCAGGGTAAGGCAGGATGCCTACAGGGGTTCAGACTTACTTCATTGTAGTAGTTTACTGATTCTCAGTGTAAGAGAACTTGTGGGGGCTGGGTTCACTCCTCACAGAGGCCAGGGTAAGGCAGGATGCCTACAGGGGTTCAGACTTACTTCATTGTAGTAGTTTACTGATTCTCAGTGTAAGAGAACTTGTGGGACTGGGCTCACTCCTCACAGAGGCCAGGGTAAGGCAGGATGCCTACAGGGGTTCAGACTTACTTCATTGTAGTAGTTTACTGATTCTCAGTGTAAGAGAACTTGTGGGGCTGGGCTCACTCCTCACAGAGGCCAGGGTAAGGCAGGATGCCTACAGGGGTTCAGACTTACTTCCTTGTAGTAGTTTACTGATTCTCAGTGTAAGAGAACTTGTGGGGGCTGGGCTCACTCCTCACAGAGGCCAGGGTAAGGCAGGATGCCTACAGGGGTTCAGACTTACTTCCTTGTAGTAGTTTACTGATTCTCAGTGTAAGAGAACTTGTTGGGGCTGGGTCTCACTCCTCACAGAGGCCAGGGTAAGGCAGGATGCCTACAGGGGTTCAGACTTACTTCATTGTAGTAGTTTACTGATTCTCAGTGTAAGAGAACTTGTGGGGGCTGGGCTCACTCCTCACAGAGGCCAGGGTAAGGCAGGATGCCTACAGGGGTTCAGACTTACTTCATTGTAGTAGTTTACTGATTCTCAGTGTAAGAGAACTTGTGGGGGCTGGGCTCACTCCTCACAGAGGCCAGGGTAAGGCAGGATGCCTACAGGGGTTCAGACTTACTTCATTGTAGTAGTTTACTGATTCTCAGTGTAAGAGAACTTGTTGGGGCTGGGCTCACTCCTCACAGAGGCCAGGGTAAGGCAGGATGCCTACAGGGGTTCAGACTTACTTCCTTGTAGTAGTTTACTGATTCTCAGTGTAAGAGAACTTGTGGGGGCTGGGCTCACTCCTCACAGAGGCCAGGGTAAGGCAGGATGCCTACAGGGGTTCAGACTTACTTCATTGTAGTAGTTTACTGATTCTCAGTGTAAGAGAACTTGTGGGGGCTGGGCTCACTCCTCACAGAGGCCAGGGTAAGGCAGGATGCCTACAGGGGTTCAGACTTACTTCCTTGTAGTAGTTTACTGATTCTCAGTGTAAGAGAACTTGTGGGGGCTGGGCTCACTCCTCACAGAGGCCAGGGTAAGGCAGGATGCCTACAGGGGTTCAGACTTACTTCCTTGTAGTAGTTTACTGATTCTCAGTGTAAGAGAACTTGTGGGGCTGGGCTCACTCCTCACAGAGGCCAGGGTAAGGCAGGATGCCTACAGGGGTTCAGACTTACTTCATTGTAGTAGTTTACTGATTCTCGGTGTAAGAGAACTTGTGGGGGCTGGGCTCACTCCTCACAGAGGCCAGGGTAAGGCAGGATGCCTACAGGGGTACAGACTTACTTCCTTGTAGTAGTTTACTGATTCTCAGTGTAAGAGAACTTGTTGGGGCTGGGCTCACTCCTCACAGAGGCCAGGGTAAGGCAGGATGCCTACAGGGGTTCAGACTTACTTCCTTGTAGTAGTTTACTGATTCTCAGTGTAAGAGAACTTGTGGGGGCTGGGCTCACTCCTCACAGAGGCCAGGGTAAGGCAGGATGCCTACAGGGGTTCAGACTTACTTCATTGTAGTAGTTTACTGATTCTCAGTGTAAGAGAACTTGTGGGGGCTGGGCTCACTCCTCACAGAGGCCAGGGTAAGGCAGGATGCCTACAGGGGTTCAGACTTACTTCATTGTAGTAGTTTACTGATTCTCAGTGTAAGAGAACTTGTGGGGGCTGGGCTCACTCCTCACAGAGGCCAGGGTAAGGCAGGATGCCTACAGGGGTTCAGACTTACTTCCTTGTAGTAGTTTACTGATTCTCAGTGTAAGAGAACTTGTGGGGGCTGGGCTCACTCCTCACAGAGGCCAGGGTAAGGCAGGATGCCTACAGGGGTTCAGACTTACTTCATTGTAGTAGTTTACTGATTCTCAGTGTAAGAGAACTTGTGGGGGCTGGGCTCACTCCTCACAGAGGCCAGGGTAAGGCAGGATGCCTACAGGGGTTCAGACTTACTTCATTGTAGTAGTTTACTGATTCTCAGTGTAAGAGAACTTGTGGGGGCTGGGCTCACTCCTCACAGAGGCCAGGGTAAGGCAGGATGCCTACAGGGGTTCAGACTTACTTCATTGTAGTAGTTTACTGATTCTCAGTGTAAGAGAACTTGTGGGGCTGGGCTCACTCCTCACAGAGGCCAGGGTAAGGCAGGATGCCTACAGGGGTTCAGACTTACTTCATTGTAGTAGTTTACTGATTCTCAGTGTAAGAGAACTTGTTGGGGGCTGGGCTCACTCCTCACAGAGGCCAGGGTAAGGCAGGATGCCTACAGGGGTTCAGACTTACTTCCTTGTAGTAGTTTACTGATTCTCAGTGTAAGAGAACTTGTGGGGGCTGGGCTCACTCCTCACAGAGGCCAGGGTAAGGCAGGATGCCTACAGGGGTTCAGACTTACTTCATTGTAGTAGTTTACTGATTCTCAGTGTAAGAGAACTTGTGGGGGCTGGGCTCACTCCTCACAGAGGCCAGGGTAAGGCAGGATGCCTACAGGGGTTCAGACTTACTTCCTTGTAGTAGTTTACTGATTCTCAGTGTAAGAGAACTTGTGGGGGCTGGGCTCACTCCTCACAGAGGCCAGGGTAAGGCAGGATGCCTACAGGGGTTCAGACTTACTTCCTTGTAGTAGTTTACTGATTCTCAGTGTAAGAGAACTTGTGGGGGCTGGGCTCACTCCTCACAGAGGCCAGGGTAAGGCAGGATGCCTACAGGGGTTCAGACTTACTTCATTGTAGTAGTTTACTGATTCTCGTGTAAGAGAACTTGTGGGGGCTGGGCTCACTCCTCACAGAGGCCAGGGTAAGGCAGGATGCCTACAGGGTTCAGACTTACTTCATTGTAGTAGTTTACTGATTCTCAGTGTAAGAGAACTTGTGGGGCTGGGCTCACTCCTCACAGAGGCCAGGGTAAGGCAGGATGCCTACAGGGGTTCAGACTTACTTCATTGTAGTAGTTTACTGATTCTCAGTGTAAGAGAACTTGTGGGGGCTGGGCTCACTCCTCACAGAGGCCAGGGTAAGGCAGGATGCCTACAGGGGTTCAGACTTACTTCATTGTAGTAGTTTACTGATTCTCGGTGTAAGAGAACTTGTGGGGGCTGGGCTCACTCCTCACAGAGGCCAGGGTAAGGCAGGATGCCTACAGGGGTTCAGACTTACTTCCTTGTAGTAGTTTACTGATTCTCGGTGTAAGAGAACTTGTGGGGGCTGGGCTCACTCCTCACAGAGGCCAGGGTAAGGCAGGATGCCTACAGGGGTTCAGACTTACTTCATTGTAGTAGTTTACTGATTCTCAGTGTAAGAGAACTTGTGGGGCTGGGCTCACTCCTCACAGAGGCCAGGGTAAGGCAGGATGCCTACAGGGTTCAGACTTACTTCATTGTAGTAGTTTACTGATTCTCAGTGTAAGAGAACTTGTTGGGGCTGGGCTCACTCCTCACAGAGGCCAGGGTAAGGCAGGATGCCTACAGGGGTTC